CTATACTTGTAGCTGTAATCTTTACATACACACACACACAAAAGCAAACACACACTAAAAATTACACTAATTTTAAATGGCCTCGAACATCCCTAGTTTGTAAACAATTATCACATAATTTGAAATGTAGTCTACACACCATACACAACGATGTATTTTTCTATATTACAAATTTACTTGTAATATGTTGGATATTGTTCTTTTCTGGCTGTTTTCAACTCTACTTCCCAAATTTCAACTCAAAGTGCTTTACCTATTTCATTTAAACATTTGCTGATTTTATGCATCTTGGTAATGATACCTTAAGGGTATCATTACTAAAGGAAATATCACAATCATTAAAAAGACAGTAAGAAAAGAAGAAAGAAAGAAAAACACATACAGGCTTATGTCAATGCATTTGATAACAATAAATTTTGCTGAGGTGAAAACCTCAAGAAATACCTGAAAATCTATCAATAAAGTTTTGACCTGAAAAATTACATTTTCATTGTGGCCATGTTTCCCTAAACAGCTTGTATATCTAAATTACAGAGTGTAATACTAACCAACACATAAACTAAGTACATATCAAAGCTGGTAAACAAGTTATGTGTTCAAATGAAGAATTTCAAAGCACAAAGTGTATGGATTAAACAACTCAATGAAAGTGCTCCCTAGGAACAAGAATATCAAGCAAGAATATCCAGTCTTTACTAGCTTCAGGAAGTATTATTAGTAAAATTTTGCTTTCATGCAATCATCACCATCATTACAGCAAGGAGTTTGAATGCAATGATAGAGCCCTGAGGTTGGAATAAAATCCATGTATATTCTTTAATAACCATAATAAAAAAAAAATGTCAAAAACCTTACTTATGGCAATAATAAAGACAATTTGTGTACAATGATACAAAGGAAAATAATCATTACTAACTACTCTTATGATGGTTAGTAACAAATATATTACAGAAAATACCAACCAACATAAGACTGCAACAACCTCCATATAATAATCTTGTGTTAATAGTAAGAACTAATGGAATGCTTAAAACCTTTAACCAATAGAGTTTGAGGACACTTGACTAATTAAATTTGGGCTTTTGCCCTTCAGCCAGTGGCCATCCAAAATTAACATTCTCAGACACTGGTAGATATGATAGGCTTATTATACACTTTCTAATACACTTCATTTCAATGATTAAATTGTTAAGGACAAGTTTGCTTTGACTTTTTTATCATTATTAATTCAGCAGCAGGATTTATATTGTTTTACTTATTTACTAGATAAAATCCCAGCTTGATGCTTTTAGGGTAGCTGTAAATTTACAGCCAACCCCCCCACCCTCTTATAAACAAAACTATACTCTTTGTATCATCTTCCCCTAGTAACCTAACAATATTCATAGTCGGGTTTACTAATCTGGTCACTGGTTATACTAATAGGTATATCTGCTACTGCTACTGCTACAGCTACTGCTACAGCTACTGCTACAGCTACTGCTACAGCCCTCTCTCTCTCTCTCTCTCTCTCTTCTCTTCTCTTCTCTGTACTCTTCTGTACTCTCTTGTCTTTACTCTCTGCTCTTCTCTATACTCTTCACTCCTCTCTACTCTCTACTTGTAATAGCTACTCTCTACTCTCCTCGTTATTCTCTCCTCTCTTCTCACTATTCTCTGATGTCAACTCTCTCCTCTTTACTCTCTACCATCTACTCTCTTCTCCTTACTCTCTATTGTCTAATCTCTTCACTGCTGTTAGCAGTCTACTCTCCTTTCTTCTTTCTGCTGTTTTCTCTCTATCTACTCTATAGTTTCGACTGTCTACTATCTATTGTCTACTCTCTACTCTAATAAGAGGCTCTTTTTCAGTCAAAATAAAAATTTGTAGTTTTAAAATTTTACAGTACATTTTGTAAGTTAGAGACAATGGCAAGTTTAGACTGTTATGGGTGAGGGAGGGAGTGCAACTTAACTGACTAGCTTCATAAGTAAGTGATAGTTATCAAATTGAATTTTGTGAATGTTGCTAACACACCTGAGCATACTTCAATGGATTTGCATTGGTTGGCACAGCACCCACAATTGTTGCTGCTCTGGTAACCTCTCCATAATATGAAGGTATTCTTGAACAACCGAAATCTTGTCAAAGCTCCATCTTCCCAAAATATATACAGCATTATTTTATTGGCTTTGTTGGAGCTTGAAATGCAGAGGTTAAGGTTATCAATTGACAGTGTACGACTATCAGTTTAACTTAAGATTGTATGCCATACCGATACATTCATTAGAATAATACCTATTTTGAAAGTAAATTTACCTTATCTCCACAAAAAATTCTAGAAGTGTCTTCTATACAAAACCTGGACAATGAAAAAAAGACTCACTGTAGTAACAAACAAGATGATGATTTTTTGTGAGTATTTTGATGTGATAGCTAATCCAATGTTATTTTTCTTCAAAAAACCACTAGCTTTTGCATTAGTAAACCCTTTGCATTCAAAAGGTTTGGGTTACTGTTTGGAAATCTTTTATTTAGAGGGTGAAAAAATATATATTAGAAAAAAGACTGTGCGCTTGACTTTTGCCTGATGCAGAATATGTTAGAATAAACAATTCAAAATTTGTGTATTTAGTAAAACCTACTCACCACAGATTACAATGTAAGCATAATGATACCAGCTATCTTTGAATGTATCGGCACTACTGCAACAAGCATCCACCTCATATATTCAAGCAAGATTGAGCTAAAATTGGTTTGTGAACTGATATTGATGATGATGCACCATAGTGCATCATCATCAATCATCAATATCTATGAATATGATACAGCAATTACAAACAACAAATTCTACTGCAACAGCAGTTGCTTTCTGACAAAATAACATGAGAACTGTCACACTATGAACTGAAATACACAGTATGAACCGTAACCATGTTGACAAATGTAGAAAAGGTATGAATGAGACTGGATATCTTCATTATACAAGAGATGTATTTGACCGGTTTCGATTATGTCTTTGTCAGAAATACATGTATTTTTGACAGACATAATCGAAACCGGTCAAATACATCTCTTGTATTGTGAATATATCCAGTCTCATTCATACCTTTTCTACATATATATACATAGTATGGTTTAGGCCTAGGCGCAACAGGTTAACCAAACAAAAGTGGTATTATTCCTTCCAAACATAAATTGATTAAAACAAAAATGCATTAATCTAACGCTTATCACTGTTAGGTTAGTGTGTATAATATATCAAATAAACCCTGTTATTTGGAAAAGTCATTGATGAAGAGTGTCAGAGATTTCCTTAATATATAAGTTCTAAATCAAAAAAAGACATTTGCCATGAAAGCCATGATCATCATATACTAAATGTAGCTGTACTGAAAAGTGAAACACCATGGTTTTCAAAATAATGAACAAAAATGAAGATGAGGACCAGACTGCAAACTCTCATTGATGTGCAGATAAAATGTCTTCCTGAATATATTTTGTTTACTCAATGTGGGCTGACTAGGAGATTTTACACAATAGATATCTTTAATAGATTTTTGAAAATATTTGTAACAAAATATTTAGATTAACCCATTTGGTCTGGGTGATATGACCACCATGTCAAGAAAAAATTTGGCTTCAGGGTCGGGTGATATGAATATGCCGTCATGGGAAAAAATGGCCACAGGCCGGGTGAAGTGAACTTACCATCATGAGCGAAGGCCAGGGTGACGGAAAAGACTGGTGATGAGTACACAAACCTCTTAGAGGGTCATTAGACTCATTTGACGTTTAGAAAGGGACTTCTTCATTGTTCCCATTGATAAGCAAGTGTAGAATGTAATGTTCGTGAGCCATGACTGGAAGAGTGATGGCTTCAGGGATGTCCCCATTTCCATGCTCAGCATCGTATCACAGGTTGTATTACAGAAAACTGAATATTACAAAATTAATAAAAACAGTGACACAAATAACAAACTTACATATTTCTATTTTTCTGGCACCAAATTATTTACTACACAGAGAGATGATATGGAGTCTGTGCAAGAAAAACGATTTACTACCATCTGGATAAAGTTTACTCAATGGGGAGGCATAGTCTTGTCACTGTAAACAACTGTTCACATGCGCCAGGCCTATACGCTATACACCGGCCAGAATGGCCGCTTACATAACGTTAATGCCTATATTTTCATCCATGCGATTGTCATGAAGTAACTAGATGCAAAGGGTTAATTATGTCCTAAGATGTGCACACTAAACAGCTGTTTCCTTATTTTCTCCTGACAGCAGTCAATGTGCAGATACAGTCTCTCAAAACTCGGCCTTAAGTCTTTTTTAAGCCTCATCATCCAAACAACAGTTAATGCTGCAGCCAAGAACCTATAGAGCAGGATGAATTTATATATCCTGCACTTCTAATTTTTTGCTCAAGCAGCTGACCCTCTGTACATCCTGGTTTGGCATTTTGCTGGGAACCCTTGTCATGTGAAGTACTAATGATGTGTTCAGAACGCCCTGTATTGCTCAGCCAGACAACTTGTCTAGACCACCAGGAGCCGGATACTCAAACACATTACAGCGCCATATATCCTTAAGGTGCCTTAGCTTATGGTTGAGTGTTCCTACGACCCATATACAGTGCATGGGACCTACCATATTGGGACAAGTAAAGCAGCAGAGCAGCCCTTGTGGGTTATGGCGAACCATAAATGACATTTTTTAAATCTTAAAACAATTAATACAACATTCCAATTTGTGTTTTGCTCAAATATAGTGTTATTAAGTGTGTATGAACCAATCATGGCCTACTAAATAAGGCAACAAGTGTAATCAAATAAAACTGATTTGCTTTTCCTGATAGGTTAGGCTAGCTGCTGTATCTGAAAACAATGCTGTCGTCACCCTGGATGTAATGATGATTCAAAGAAAAAGATGATTACTTTATTTACATAATTAAGCCTTAAAAACATTCTAAGTCTTATTCGTATAACTAGTACTGTAATTGGTATGAAAA